ATGTAAAAAATTATTGCAGTTTAACTGTGGTGGCTGCATTAGTTTTCTTTTTGCAGGCTGGAACACTTTTAACAAGTACAGAAAATGCCAGTTGATCATCCCAGAAATGCAATGCTCATGTCTTTTCTGTGAGATGAGCTGGAAACAAAACAAATGTCATCCTTCTTGTGTAAACCACTTTTTCCATCATCTCCCTCTTTGTAATGAGGATGAACAAAAGCATACATGTTTGATGTCCATAGTAACAGTGGAAGACTGGGGGAGATTTACTAAAACTGGTACACACAGACTCTGCTGCAACTCTGCATAGTAACCAATCGACTTCCAGCTTTTGTTGTCAAAGCTTAATTGAACAAGCTGAAGTCAGAAGCTGATTGGTTACTGTGTGCAGCTGCACCAGATTCTGTGTCTTCCATTTTAAGTTAACCTCCCCTTGAGTGTAGCCACCTAGGGACAGTATTTGCAGCATTTTCAGGTAAAAATGAGGGAAAAAGCCCAAAAAGAAAATCCCATCTGAAGACTAGTAAGCTTTAATATATTTTTTCTTCACTTAAGGCCTATTACTATATTCCTGCAGTTTGTGTATGTGGTGATCGTTCAGAATTTACATTAATTTTAAAGTCGAATTTTAAAAGCAAAAGATGATTTTCAAACGACATTTGTCCATCGAACGTTCAAAGAATTTTCAAACGCATATTCTTGTTTGATAATCTATACGTGTATGGCCAGCACTTAGTAAATCAACCCCAAAGTGTTCTGAGCTGGCTCTAAGGGCCGTACAAATAAAACCAGTCAGTGTGTTGTTGGAGCTGTCCAAAAAAAAGCTCAAACTTAGAAAAAAAAAAAATAATAATTTGTTCTCTCTCTCTTTAAAGTGTAAAGATTCAATTTTTTTTTGTTTAAATAACAAGCATGTTGTACTTACCTACCAAAGATTTGCACAGAGCAGCCTGGATCCTCCACTTCTGTGGTCCCCTGCTGGCGCTGTCAGCTCCTCCCTGTGGAGTACCCCCATAGCTGCTTGCTATGGGGGCACTCGTGTGCTCTCTCCCAAGCCGGTGGTTTGTGTCCATTGACACACGGAGCATGGATCAGCCCCGCTCCCTCATTGGCTGTGATTGACAGCAGCAGGAGCCAATGACTGCCACTGCTGCTTCTGTCCAGTGAGGAGAGAGAATGCATTAAAGTTAAAAAAAAAAAAAAAAAAAAAAACTCAGGCTTTAGAATCACTTTAACTCAAAGTACCTTCTATTCTCAGCCCCATCCAAATCTCAAAATGATTTTTTTTTTTGTGGCTGTGATAAGACTTCCTTTTTAGAGGGTGGCTACATTTGATCTCCACAGTCTCACTGTATGTAGGAACATATCTGCCCTCTGTTGCTTGCTCACAAGGTGAACTAGGACCTATAGACTATGGGGATTGTAGTGTGCATAGAGCAGTGCACACGACATAAGAAGCTACTGCTTATTCCAAACAAGTAAAGGGGAAAAGGAGAGGTTCGGGAGCTCATAGAGGTTGTTACAAGGAGGCAGAAAAATACAGTATGAAAAAAAGAATTCCTGGCCATGAAGTAGTGGATGTGTATGGATTATTGGAAATATTATAATGGAAATAAGGATATCAGTAACCCCTGGTTCACATATATGCGGCAGCGAGAGCCCATTCATTTGAATTATTATTATTTTATTATTATTATACAGTATTTATAAAGCGCCAATAGTTCGCTCAGCGCTGTACATTACAAAGGGGGACAGAACATGTGACAGAACAATACCAATACAATGTGATACACGAGGGGTTCGAGGGCCCTGCTCTTTCGAGCTTACAATCTAGGAGGGAGGGGGTGGTGGCACAGGAGGAGATAGCTGTGGGGGATGGAGTGGTAGGAAGAGTGGAGGAGGTCGACAAGTTAGCAGGGGGTGGGGTAGGCTTCCCTGAAGAGATGGGTTTTCAGGGTGCGCCTAAAGGAGAGGAGAGTAGGTGATAATCTGATGGGTTGGGGCAGGGAGTTCCAGAGGATGGGTGACACCCTGGAGAAGTCCTGGAGGCGGGCATGGGAGGAGGAGACCAGGGAACTAGAGAGAAGGAGGTCTTGTGAGGAGCGGAGTGTGCGTGCTGGGCGGTACTTGGATATTAGGTCAGTGATGTAGTTTGGGGCAGTATGGTGGACAGCTTTGTACGTCAGCGTTAGGATTTTGAATTTGATCCGTTGCGCAATCGGAAGCCAGTGGAGGGATTGGCAGAGGGGGGTGGCGGACATGGAGCGGTTGGAAAGGTGAATGAGTCTGGCAGCCGTATTCAGGATCGACTGAAGCGGGGATAGCCAGCGGCGAGGCAGGCCAGTGAGGAGGGAGTTGCAGTAGTCGAGTCGTGATATGATGAGGGAGTGGATGAGCTGTTTAGTGGTTTCTGGGGTTAGGAACGTGCAGATTTTGGCGATGTTGCGGAGGTGGAGTCTGCACGAGTTTGTTAAAGATTGGACTTGGGGCTGGAAGGATAGGTTGGAGTCCAGAATGACACCCAGTACTCTGGCCTGCAGGGCGGGTTTGATGGTAGCGTTGGATGTGACGGAGAAATCAATGGGGGGTGGTGTCCGGGCTGGGGGGAAGACAAGAAACTCGGTTTTGGAGAGGTTCAATTTAAGGAAGTGGAGCGACATCCAGTCTATGTCGCTCAGTAGGTGTGTGATTCGGGCTGAGACCAAGGGGGTGAGGTGGGGGGTTGAGAGATAGATTTGTGTGTCGTCAGCATAGAGGTGGTAGTTGAAGCCGTGAGAGTGTATGAGTTGGCCAAGGGAGGAGGTATAGATGGAGAAGAGAAGGGGCCCAAGGACAGAGCCTTGAGGGACCCCAACAGAGAGGGGGAGTGAGGGGGAGGTGGTAGCATTATAGGTAACGCTGAAGGAGCGTTGTGACAAGTAGGATGAGAGCCAGGAGAGAGCAGAATCTCTGAGGCCGAGGGAGTGTAGTTTTTTGAGGAGGAGGGGGTGGTCGACTGTGTCGAAGGCCGCAGAGAGGTCAAGGAGTAGGAGCACTGAATAGTGGCCATTAGCTTTGGCGGTTAGCAGGTCGTTGGAGAGTTTGAGTAAGGCAGTTTCGGTGGAGTGTAGGGGACGGAAGCCGGACTGTAGGGGATCGAGGAGGTTGTTGTCGTTGAGGTGAGAGCATAGGCGGGTGTAGACTAGGCGCTCGAGGAGTTTAGATGTAAATGGGAGCAGGGAGATGGGTCTGAGGTTGTTCGGGTCACTGGGGTCCAGGGAGGGCTTTTTAAGTATGGGGGTGATGTGTGCATGTTTCAGAGGGGAGGGGAAAGTGCCTGAGGAGAGGGAGAGATTGAAGATGTGGGTGAGGGAGCGTAGGATGGAGGAGGAGGAAGGTCGTAGGAGTTGTGAGGGGATAGGGTCGAGGGGGCAGGTGGTGAGGCGGGCATCAGAGAGGATCTTGGAGACTTCCTCGATGGTAGTAAGGTCAAAGGTGTGGAGTGTGGGGGGAGCTTCAGTATGAGGAATGTAGGGTGGGGTGGAAGAGGAGGTCAGAGCAGTGGTGGGGCCGTGGGAGAGGGGTGATGAGGGGGTAGCTGAGTGAGGGTGAAGGGGGTTGGAGAGAGTTTGAGCAGCGACGAAGTCCCTGCGGGTTATGTCGAGGGGGAGGGGGGATAAGGGGGTAGCTGTATGAGAGGGGACGGGTTGAGAGGGTGTGTGAGTTGCGGCAATGTCCTTGCGAATTGTGTCAATCTTGTTTTTGAAGTGATTGGCAATCTCAAGGGCAGTGAGTGATGTGCTGGGTGGAGGTGGGGGTGGAGAGAGTAGGGAGTTGAAGGCAAAGAAGAGTCGGCGAGGATTGGAGGAGAGGGCCTTGATGAGGGTCAAGAAGTAGGCCTGTTTGGCAGCATGGAGGGAGGAGGTGTAGGTGCGGAAGGCAGATTTGTAGCGGGTGAAGGCTTGTTGGGATTTGGTTTTGCGCCATAGTCGCTCCAGGGCACGACTTTGTCGTTTGAGGGTTTTGGTGTGATCAGTCTGCCAGGGCTGGAGCGGTCGGGGTCTGATGTTGCGTGTGGTTAAAGGCGCTAGTGAGTCAAGGGCTGTTGAGAGCGCATTGTTGTAGGCGGTCAAAGCCAAGTCGGGGCAGGACAGGGGGAGGATGCGGTCGTGGAGTTGATCAGCTGCAGAGTGGAGGGAGGCAGGGTTAAGGTTGCGGAGGTTACGGCTGGTAGTAGTGTGACATTTGGAGGGGTAGGCATTGGAGGACGAGGAGATAGAGAAGGTGATCAGGTTGTGGTCAGAGAGAGGGAAGGAGGTGTTAGTGAGGTTGTGGGGAGAGCAGCAGTTGGTGAAGACAAGGTCCAGGATATTTCCGTCGGAGTGGGTGGTGGATTGTATGCACTGTGCAAGTGCAAAGGAGGAGGTTAGGTGGAGGAGACGGGCTGTGTCCGGGTTGTCGAGGTTATTCATTTGAATGGACTCCCGTGCTCCTTGACGCGCAGGGAAGAAGTCCCTGCACTTCTTCTGAAAACGCAGCCCGCAAGGGAACCTTGGTTCCCAGTACGGTTGCGTTTTCCAGTGCGGGCAGCGAGCCATTAGAACTAATGGCACCTGCCCGTGGGTCCGCATTACACTGTGTGGGCGGTGTGGCTGCACAGATTTTCATACGGATTCACAGAGGCACCACTCGCATAAATGTGAACCTAGCCTTAGTGTACCTTTTAGGTGACGACACTCAGGCGTGAATATGCAGGATTATAAATATAATGTGAATCCTGATGTTTGAACATTAAATCCCTTCAGATCTAATAATTAAGTCTAATAATTAAAAAAAAAAAAAGAAAAGAAAAGAAAAAACTGTTTGGTACCGTTAGTGGTGTTCCTACAGTATTTTGTACTTCTACTGTTCTGTTAAATACTTTCCTCTGTAGTCCTTCCACAGTAGTACTGGTTGTATTTTAGAGTCAGCATTGTATACGCATACAAGTTAATTCATTGGTTTTTTTTTCCTCTTTTCAGCTTGTATATGAATTTTTCATAAGATTTTTGGAAAGCCAAGAATTTCAGCCCAGTGTTGCCAAAAAGTACATAGATCAAAAATTTGTATTACAGGTAAGTTCTCTGTTTCATGGTAAGAAATGTGATTGTGAATATTTATCTCTAAACCTGTTGTACCCAGTACTTTTCCTGATTCTGGAACTCTTGGGTGCTTTTCTAAAGGGCTAAATGTTTCACATAGTCCTGCAAATCTGTGTTCACAGCAGCCAATAATCTGCCCGAAAACTGGATTCAAAATTGAATTAAATGATCTGTATGTGATTGGATGTTTGATGTAAACTCAGCCTTCCTGGGCCAAAGGAGAGAATGATTTTTCTCATACATTAGTCACAATGTTTTGACATCTGAATCTGCTTGCCTTGCAAGTTGATAAATAAATGTTCCTGTGTATAAATAATAATTATGGCTTTGCTTAGTTTATGCTAATAGGCTTGTATTAAATGTGTATGGAGTTTTGTTTGTGTAGTCTTAACATATATTTTATTAAATGCATATTTTTTAAGATGGTAACTTTTTTGTATGAGCAAGTTTCCACCAGGAATGTACTCTCCTGAAGGGGAACTATAAATGGTTTTGACTTGTATCCATTAGGTGTTCATTTGTTTTTAAACACTTTTTTTAAATGTTATTCTATAGTTTATTTACCAAATAAAAAATGTATTCTTGGATACTTTCCTTGTCATTCAGTCTTACTAGACTTTCTAAAGAAAGCCATCACTGCTGTTTTCACTTTTAACTTCCACTGTGCAAAGATAAATAAAATGCACGGCCATATATGTTAGCAGGGGGTGTGTCCTCCTTTACATTATGCGTATGTCATGTGTGGACCCAAACAGCAGAAGATCAAATGACAGAGACTGTTCGGGATACTTACAGCATAGCAGTAAATCACTCTGGAAACCCTGGTGTTAATCGGCTAGGGTATCGCCTGCTGACTGCAAGTAAATATTTCATATTCCTCCACATTTTGTTTATCTGGCTTAACCACCTCCCGCCCGCCATATAGTAATATGACGGACGCAAGGTGGTTCTCTCGTTCTATGAGGACGTCATATGACGTCCTCCCATCCTCACACGCACATACACGGCTCAGGGAGCACGCGGCCATCGGCGGTACGCTTTGTCCCTCGGACACAGCGGATCATGGAAAGAGCCGAAGATGTCGGCTCGGTCATGTGATCAGCTGTGTCCAATCACAGCTGATCACATGTAAATAGGGAAATGCCAGTTATCGGCATTTCTCTCCTCTCGAGCTGTCATGCTGACAACTCGAGAGGAGAGCCGGTAATCGGCTTTCCGCGGAGGGGACATGTACACTGATGATCAGTGTAGCCCCAGCAGCGCCACCTGTCAGTGTCCATCAGTGCCTCGTGCCAGTGCCCATCAGTGCCACATATCAGTGCCTACCAGTGCACATCAATGCCACATATCAGTGCCCATCTGAGCTGCCTTTCAGTGTCATCCATCAGTGCCAGTCAGTGCTGCCTATCAGTGATGGCTGTCAATGCCCATCAGTGCCATCACCAGTGCCACCTATCAGTGTCCATCAGTGCAGCCTATCAGTGCCTATCACTGCAGCCTCAGCGCATATCAGTGAAGGAGAAAAATCACTTATTTACAAAATGTTATAACAAAAACAATGAAAAAACTTTTTTTCAAAATTTTCAGTGGTTTTTGGTTTAAGAAAAATAAAAAACCCAGAGGTGATTAAATACCACCAAAATAAATCTCTATCTGTCACAAAAAAATTATAAAAATTTCATATGGGTTCAGTGTTCTATGACTTCGCAATTTTCATCCAAAGTGCGACAGTGCTGAAAGCTGGAAATTGGCCTGGGCAGGAAGAGGATATAAGTGCCCGGTAGGCTAATGGTTAAAAAGAAATGCCTTTTTTAGGGCCAGTTCACACTACAAAAACACACACTCCGGATGCATTCCGGATACGTTTTATGCTTACAGTCAACACCACACTCCTTTCTGGTGCAGTTTTGATGCAGTTTGCTATGATCCAGTATAGTTCTGTGCAGAAAAAAATGCAGCATGTTCTACTTTTTTTTTCTGTACCGGAAATTGACTGGAACTAACTGCACTGGCATGAACTAGGACTATTGGAATACATGGAAAACACTGTGCATGCATTTTTGATGCAGAAAAAAAAACACACTGGACTGCATCTAATGTGAACTAGACCTTAAATTCCTGAACATAAAATATATGCAGAATAATCATACATTACCTTTTAATGTAGTTTTAAAGTGAGGAGGAAAGAAGTGTAGAAGGTAGCTAGTAGTAGTCTGCTTTAAGATTTATCCATTGCCACAATATAGGTTCCAAGAGATATATTTTGAATGCAGACAGATTCAGCTACATATCTGTAGCTCAACTGGAGTTGGTGCCAAGGAAAATAAGGATATCCTAGTTAGGTTTGCCATTGAGTCCTTGTGTAGTGTGTCCAGAAAAACAGTTCTACTGTAGTATACTTTTGGATGGAACTCTTCAATTTAATAACTCAGAGCCCCTCCTCTTGGACTTGTTGTTTGAGCACAACTCCAGCCAAAACTTTTTTTTTTTTTTTCTGGTCAGAATGAGTAACAGTCCTTCCTTGCTTCCTGATGAATTTCCTCTCGCTTCTTTCCTGTTGACAGGTGTCAATGGGACAGGAGGTGAGGTTTTTTTTTTTTTTTTACAAATGGGATACAGAACACTATAAAAGAAAAAAAAATCCAGATACTGAAACCCTTCCCCTTTTTATGTTAAAGCGAATTTGATTGAAATGGCCAAGCAAACTTTGTATTAACAGCCTTCATTTTCATAGTTTTACTGGCACTTTCCTGTTTCAGCAGCTGTGTAATATGTCTAGTCAGTTAGGGCCTGTATTGATGGGCAAATGCAGCATGCTTTTGACATCAGTTTATAGTGGAACTTTACTCATCACAACGTGATAAAAAAAAATCTTCTTTGGCAAGGAACATACAGTACATTCCACATTAATAATTATGCTACCAAAAATTAGTGTATGCTTTAAATTCCCTCCAAGACTGTTCCTGTTTGTTCTGGCCAGAGGCCATTTTGCTGAAGTCCAGAAGCCCAGAGCCGCTGGAGCAGCAGTAAATCTTTAGGCTGTCAGCAGATTGGCCTCTCCATTTTCAGCGTAGTGACGAAATATATAGAGCAACTGAACATGTGCGTGGATTTTAAACAGTATAGACACTTATTTTTTAACTTTACATAGCTATACCTGCAAAAGGGGCCAGCATGAAATGGGTCTAGCAGGACTTAAAAGAGAAGTTTGGGTTTTTGCAAAAATACAATTGTACTTATCTATGTGGATGCAGCATCAATTTTATGTTTCTTCTCCGTCTTCAGTGAGCAGAGAGCCGGTGACTGTGTAGAGTAGCTATATCCTCAAAGTAGATCATGAAGGAGCGTGTGTCTTATTTCTGGCACGTTAAGACATTTAACATTCAAGGAGGTGAGACAGAGAGAGGGTTGATTTACTAAAACTAGAGAGGTCAAAATCTGGTGCAGCTCTGTATAGAAACCAATCTGCTTCCAGGTTATTTTGTTACAGCCTCATTGAACACACTGAAGTTAGAAGCTGATTGGCTATCATGCACAGCTTTACCAGATTTTGCCCTCTCCAGTTTTAGTAAGGGTCCTTTCACGCGGGCGTTCTGTATGTCCGTTTTTTCATCTGTCCGTTTACGTATGAAAAACCGACACCCATGTATTTCTATGGACTAGCAGATGTAAACAGATAATCTGTTTATATCCGTTAATGTCCACATCCATTTATTGAACAGAAGAAACCCCTATTTTTCTTCTGTTAAAAAAAAAAAAAAAATAGAATGGACAAAATACGAATGTTAACGGACATACTGCCTGTTTTTGCATTGGTAAAGGATGTAGAAAATGATGAGAGACTGATTTAAACTGATCAGTTTTTTTTTTTTTTTTTTTAATCGTGATTGAACTGATGACAAAAAAACGGAACGACCCTGTGAAAGGACCCTAGATCAACTCCCTGAGTAGCCATCCCATGATCCAGTGTGAAAAAGAAGACATAAAGAGGAGTTGGCATTAAGAGGGCAGAGTCGGGAGAGTAAAAGGAAGAAGGGTAGGAGAGGGAGCAGATATGGAGGGAGTATTGTGTGTCAAGCTACACAACCGGTATAGGGCAGGGGAAAATCTTAGTTTGAGGAGTTTGAAGTAAAGTGCTACAAGGGCTGGGGCAGGCCTGTGGGGTTAGACTATTATAGAGTCTTGTCAGAAATGTACTGTGAGCATCTCATGTAAAGTGAAGTGTCAAATTCAGGATCCCCATATCACAAATGTCCTGGAAAGTGATAATTTTACAAATGAAAAAAAAACCTTACTGTATTAGTGGAGTGAAGCATATATAAGTACTGCCACTTAACTCTGAGAGATAGTAGCTAAGTATTATAGAGAAAGTAGATAAGGCATAATCCATGCTAGCCACATGGTTCAATAGGGAACATTAACCAAGTTATAAACAAAAGAGTGAAAAAAGGAGACCATTTGAACTGTACTGAAATCCCATTGCAAAAGCCCAGTCTACATATTCATTATCAGGAGACCAACAGGTAAAATGCAGTATATTGCAGCGCATAAGCCACATGAGGAGGATAATGGTAGCCAAGTGATGTTTTAATCCCAATAGAAGTGTTTGTAGAGAGGGTAATGGGTAATGCATCTTCCGTTGTGGAAGGCATTCCAGACCACATAGTACTTGTAGTCTCCTGAGTATTCTGAGACAGCTGCACGGGCAACTATAAAGAAGTTACGGTTTGTATAGAAAAGAATCACCCCCCCCTTTAAAATCACATTTTGTGGCTTTGCAGCCTGAAATGAAAGAAGACCATGTTTGTTTTATCCAGCTGTATTTAATGCAACTTAAAAGTAGAGGAGTAGGGTTGACAATGGTGTATAGGATATTCCAGAAAACCCTCCCACAATGGGGGCTTTCCAATTGTAACAATATTTTCACATGCTACAGTCTAATAACCAATATATTATTATCCAGTATGAAATTA